ACCTATCACTAAAAGAACAACTAGTCATAGTTACGATCATATGTGTAAACTGGTTTCAATAAAAAAATCTAACCAGTTAAGCTACGCTCGCTGAAAGGATCTTCATCCCTCTCGTTTTCGATTAAGGACACACAATCAGGATGTGTATTTCGATTCTTACACGTAATGTATATAAAAAAGGGCAGCCATCAGGGGAGAAATGTCCAATATTTTTGCGTGTGGGTGCGACCAATTGGGTAGCCATAGCATTTTCAAACACCCCTTTTCTCCTACTGCTATTCTTTTATCCGGTTAACGAGTTTTTTTGCGTGTGCGTTTACTCGTCGCCCTCCTCCCCTCATCGGTTGCATCCTACGGAAACACAACCTCCTGAGAGACCAGCCAAGCCCAAAAGACGAACGAAGGAAGGAAGCAGAGCAACGCAAGCAGACAATAGCAGCAGAGAGGCAACGAGCGGCGAGGGAGCTACTATAAGTACCCACCCCCGTCTCCCTCCCTCCCTCCCCGTTCATTCCTCTCCCCCCCCCCCCCTGAACCCGGCCAACTCCGGCGAGAGAGACATAGATAGCGTGTGAGACAGTATAAAGATAGAGAGGGAGAGGTAGTTTTTTGTTGCCGGCTTGCGGATTTATTGTAGGAGATCAGGTCAGTTTCGTTTTCTTGCCGGCGCGGCGGGCGTTTGTTGGGTGCGGCGGGCGGGGAGGAGCTCGTGAATGGTGAACGGAGAGGCGGAGGCGGAGTGCACGCGGGCGTCGCTGCTGGGGAGGTATGAGATCGGGCGCACGCTCGGGGAGGGCAACTTCGGCAAGGTCAAGTACGCGCGCCACCTCGCCACCGGCGCCCACTTCGCCATCAAGATCCTCGACCGCAACAAGATCCTCTCCCTCCGCTTCGACGACCAGGTATTTGCTCCCTCTAATCCCATCCGCGCCTCACCGGAATCGCTCGCGCTCATCATCTGTGTTGTTTTGGTTTGGTTTGGGATGTTCAGATAAGGAGGGAGATTGGGACGCTCAAGCTGCTCAAGCACCCCAACGTCGTCCGCCTGCACGAGGTAACGTCTCCACTACTCTCCGATCATCACCACCCTCTGGCTTTTTTTCTGCCTCTTTTTCTCGATTTTCTTTCCTGGATTTTGTTTCATTCTGGACGAGTTCATCGTCAGGTTCTCAACTTCCCCACGAGTCCTGACAATTTTTTTTTTCACACGAGACCTGACACTTGGCCGGTTACCTACAGTAGCTGCTTACTTACAAGGCAAAGAAACATTTCGATTCTAGTAGTTTAGTTTAACCACCAGGATAAGGATCAATCCTCACAAACTCTTTCTTGATCTCCTCGCCTCTTTTGAGAAGCAAACTAATTACGCAATGCAAAAGCATCACCACCGCCTCACGTCATGCCACCTCGCCGCCGGCGGTTCACCCCTCGCCGCCGCCGCCGTAGCCGCCGTCAAACTTCGATTGATCATCACGGACAGTCCACGCCGCGTTCTCCGTGTGATTCAGCCTCTCGCGTGTTTATACGCAACGAATGAATCCATCACCGGTCAATCTGGAACACGAATTTTCTTCTGATTAAAAATTTTCAGGGAGCGACAAGAATTTCGTCAGAGCTTTTCCTTCTCCTCATACATGACCTCACGTTCTCTCTCTCTCTCTCCCCCCCCCCCCCCCCCCCGAAAAATCAGCACCGTGTCGAATGAAAGGCGCCTGATACGTCCACGTCACCCGGATTCCGCGAACCGACGGCTCCGATGGAATCCCCCCCGTATCCTCACAGGAGCGAGGGGCCCCACCCTGGCGTTTACTCACATTCCTTGCCTGCCTCTTGGTCTACCCGTCGAGGCATGTGGTGGTGGGCCCGGTAGGCCGGCCCCTCGGCCCTGCTGGAGCTGGGCCCACGGTGTCAGCGTCACGGGCTGTCTCTGTCCGGGTGCTTTTAGCCCAGAGTGCAACGTCCCCGTAAGCCCGGGCGCGCCGCACCACCACCACCCAAGTCACCCACCGTGTGGGCCCAGCAGACTTGGCAACGCGCGGGGCCCGCACACGTGTGTCCGGTGACGGGGCCCACCGTGCCATCCTTCCCTGTGGGCCCACAAGAACAGTTAGAGGAGGTCAGGGTGGGGGGGGGGGGGGGGGAGGGACGCATGATGAATGGAGATGATGGGGGAGATGAACAGTGTGGTGATAGAAATTTGAGAGGAGCAAGCAATCAAAGCATCGAACTGCTCTCACCTAACGATGGCAGTTCTTGTCATATGGTTGCATTACCAGAACGGCGATGCTCGTACCCATAATGTGACATCTAAGTACACAAAAACAGTACATAATCTGATTTGTTGGTGATAACAATTATGGTAATAATGCTTTTTCTTGAGTCATATGATGCAAGCAGCAAGGACTGAGAATTGGCAAAAGTAGAGGTTGTCATGGTGCACAGATATCTGTTGTTGTCGTAGTAAACGAGTGGTGTTAGCAAGGGAACAAAAAAGACGTTTTGTCGTTGCTCTTTAGTTGAACATGCAGTTCTTCAGGGAGGTCCATTTGGGTTTCTTGAGAACAGTTCTGATCTGCGTAATTTGCCCAGATGAAGAACCAGTGAGTGATCATGGAATTGATATATTGTTTTTCTTTTTTCAGGTGGCTGCTAGCAAAACTAAGATTTACATGGTGCTTGAATATGTCAATGGAGGCGAGCTCTTTGACAAGATTGTAAGATATGCAAGCCTTGTTGGTGCTGTTGCTTTTTCGTGTAAAAATTGCTCGTATCTTGTTAATACTGATATTTTTTTTCCATTGCTAATTTTTGAAGGCCGTAAAAGGAAAACTCTCTGAACATGAAGGAAGGAGACTTTTCCAGCAGTTAATCGATGCTGTGAGCTATTGCCATGATAAAGGTGTCTACCACAGAGACCTTAAGGTACCCGACATAAATATTTTCAGCTTTTTACATGATGGATGCCTGAGTTACATTCTAATACGCAATTGTAATCAGATTTATTTTCTTGCTCATACTCATCGCAATCAAACTAAACTAGAGAATTATATGATTCTCCTGTGACAGAATTTTCTTCTTTATTCTACTCTTACAGCCCGAAAATGTTCTTGTGGATCGAAGAGGCAATATCAAGATCTCTGACTTTGGCCTAAGTGCTTTGCCTCAACATCTTGGGGTATGATAATGATTTGATTGAATTTTGTTCTATATAAATCACCTGTTGTGCAATTTGCTGAATCATTTGCACTCCCACTTTCAGAATGATGGATTGCTGCACACAACATGTGGCAGCCCCAATTATATTGCTCCTGAGGTAATAACTGATAACTGAAAATAATCTGAAACTAGTAACATCTTTCATTTCTCCTGCAGATGCTAATTCTGTAGCGAATCCATGCAGGTTTTGCAGAACCGAGGTTACGATGGCTCATTGTCAGATATCTGGTCTTGTGGAGTAATTCTCTATGTAATGCTCGTCGGATACCTTCCCTTTGATGACCGAAATCTTGTTGTCCTGTACCAGAAGGTTGGTTGCAAGATAAAGCATCTTTACAACTTTGCTCACAAATTTCAAATTTCAGACTGTCCTGATAGTGCGAAATTGTCATGTATCTTTAGATTTTCAAGGGGGACACTCAAATCCCAAAGTGGCTTTCACCTAGTGCACGGGATCTTCTTCGAAGGATTCTTGAACCGAACCCGATGAAGAGGATCAACATAGCAGGGATCAAAGAGCATGAGTGGTTTCAGAAGGATTACACTCCTGTTGTTCCATATGACGACGATGATGACAATTATCTTGACTCAGTTCTTCCAATCAAAGAGGTATTCGTAGTTTTCTGAAAAACTGTAGAAATTATTAGGAAACTAACGAGTACTTGTTTCTCAGTATTTGTTGATGCTGAATTTCTGATTGGTAATTTCTGTTTCTTGAAGCAAATTGATGAAGCAAAGCAGGAAAAGCCTACTCATATCAATGCTTTTCAGTTGATTGGAATGGCTTCTGCCCTTGATCTTTCAGGTTTCTTTGAGGAAGAGGTTCGTATGATGTTTTCTCATTCTAGACTTCTTTCATACTTTTCAGTTATTTATCAGAACAAGACTATGTGTAGTGTAACTTACAATCTTACAACAATTTTCCGAATGAACCTATCCTAAGCTGCCTGGTGCTAATTGATGGATTATTGCAGGATGCGTCTCAAAGAAAGATAAGGTTCACATCAACACATTCACCAAAAGATTTATTCGACAAGATTGAGAATGTTGTGACGGAGATGGGATTCCAAGTCCAGAGGGGTAATAGCAAGGTAGATATACCAAGGCCTTTTTCTCATCACATCATCGTATTGTCAGGGAAGAAACAACAGCTCCAGTAAACCAAAAGCCTAAAATCATGTTTCTCTTTGCAGCTAAAGGTCATGAAAAATGGCAGGGGTTCAAAGAACCTCAGGAATCCATCATCATTCTTGGTCTGTACTGAGGTAAAATGCCACAGCACACTCCTTTCTTGTGCAATGTACATTCAGGAAGGATTGCATATCAGCTGGTACTTACATCATCACTCTTGATCTTCAGGTAGTCGAGCTCGGGCCATCCTTATATGTTGTCGAATTGAAGAAATCCCATGGAGATCCTATATTGTATAGACAGGTACCATACCAATGAACAGCCTTACTTTCTATCACCGGCAACTTCAGTATTCTATCTTTCAGTGATTCAGTGATATGTGTGGTATCGCATCATCTCAGTAGTTTGTTTCCTGAAATAATTCTGCAGCTATGTGAGAGGCTATCAGATGAGCTAGGAGTGTGCAAGACAGAGCAGATTCAGAGGACGGAGTCGCTGGAGGATGATCTAGAGAGCTTCGACAGCGGATCTTCTCTGCCTGGTTTTTGAAGAATTGCCGCCCTGGATCATTTTGGTTAGAGTTAGAGGAACATGCTCTGTTCTTCATACAAGCGTAGGTTAGGATGTTGTATAGTGTACAAAGTGAGTGGTGCAAGTTAGCCACCGATGTTTAATATAAGGATTGCTCTCTTCTTGCCCGTCTGTTGGCCCAATTCTTTCCCATAATGAAATGAAATCATCAGAAATGGACGCTTGCAAAAATCAGGAAAACCTGATCACAATTTAGGGAAATGGAGCCCTATCTTATAACAACGTAAATCCAAATGCATCTCGCATTAAAAAACTGAAGAAAATAACGGAATGCCTCCACAAACAATGGTGAAATGTTCAAAGTTTCAGACTTCAGACTTCAGACTGATAATTGATAGATTGTACAGACGGATGAAATTAACAGGTATATAGTATACTAACTTTCAGCTCCAGAGTCTGAACAAACTGCATGAATGAATATCCAGAGAGTTTCAGATGCTCAAATTTTCAGGGCTGATAATTTCTCCAACCAGTAGATCAATACGTTGTTCACTGGTAAATGCAAAAAATGGTGTGCTAAAAAGTGCAAAACCAAGCAGTGATTTAAGATGAATATACTGGGTATCAATGATCATCTAACATGTGAGAACATCACAACAAGAATTACGATCTAGATCATACATCCGGGTCACTGATCATTTGGCCAAGCAAACACCTCACAACAACACTATTTCAGGGTTCATAATTTTTCCAATACATTGTTCACCAGCAGATCAATACATTGTTCACTGGTAAATGGTAGTATAACAAGTAACATCATACAATTCAAAATGGCATGCACAAAGGTGCAAACCAAGCAGTCTACTTGAGATGAATATACTGGGTGTCATGATCATCTAACATGTCAGATGATCAACCCATTAACAAGTCGCCAAGAAACTGATCAGAATCATGAGCATACATCAGGATCATATCACTGATCATTTGGCCAAGCAAACACGAAAATCGATAAGGTATACTTCCAAGCAAGCAACTCACAACAACACAGTTTTCGGCTTGACGACGTCCTTACATGTCGTCGTCCGGAAACAGCTGCAGTGGCCGCCGCCGCGGCTGCGGCGGCGGTGGCGGTGGCAGTGGCGGCGACGAGCTGCTGGCCTCGGCAGCCATTGTCATCTCTGCGACGTCGCCCACGCCGATGGTGTCTGCGGCCGGGGATGGCGGCGGAGCGTTGAGGTCCAGGCCCATGGCCATGGCCACCAGGTTGCCTTCCGATGGCAGGTTCTCGGACGGCGGCGCCATCGCCAGCGCCATGGCCACGCTCGACGCGTCGCTTTCCGGCGGCGCCACGTTCTCGGACGGCGGTAAGGCGCCCATGTTCGTCGCGGTGCTGCTGCTCTCCGGCGCCATGTCCTCCGGCGGCGGCGGCGCCTGCAGCATCGGGAGGGGCTCCGGCTCGTCGGCGCCATGGTTTGCAGACGGCACCTCCGCGTCGACGCCCAGGGCCACGGCGAGAGCGCGGTACGCGCGCGCTTTCTCGGCCTTGGCTTCCACGAACAGGCGCTCCGCCGTCGCGCGCGCCGCGGCGGCCGCCTTCCTCAGGACGGCCAGCGAGATCCGCGAGGCCAAGAGCATGATCCGCGTCGCGCGTATGTCGAGCGGGGCGTCGCTGACGACGCCGCCGGTGGTGGTGGCCGCCAGCGCCGCCGGCGGCGGCGCCGTAGGCGTGTACGAGAAGCGCCAGCCGTGCGCGGCCGCGACGCAGGCGGCGCAGACGAAGGTGTCGTCGTCGGACTGGAGGCAGTAGCGGTGAGCGACGGCCTCGTTGCAGAGCCTGCAGGTGGCGACGGGGACCGGCGGCGCGAGGATGGGGTCGCCGTCGTCGAAGTGGGCGGGCGGCTCCGGGCCGAGGAGGAGGAAGCAGCAGCAGCAGTAGAAGGAGCGGTACTCGAGCAGGAGGCACGACGAGCAGAGGCGGCAGTGGACGCCGTCGAGGCGGCGGAAGTGGTGGAGCGGCCAGGTGCCGGCGCCGGAGGCGCAGCCGTCGCCGTCGCAGCCGACGATGGGCTCCGACTCCATTTGTAGCGCCGTGCTGCTTTCCTATTAGGGTATTAGGGTTTTAGGTTAGACACCAGATTTTTTTCCCCCAACGGTTCAGAAATAAGCAAAATCCCCCAATCTACAATAATCCCCTTCTGCAATTTTCTTCTTCATGTAGAAATAGAAATTTATGGGGGGCATTAAGAAAAGGAATATGAGATTGGGACTTACTAGATTAGGCAAAGACATCCAACAACACCAGCAATGGCGAACGACGGCGAAGCAACAAGATCTTAGATGATTGTTCTTAGATCTAGATCTAGAGCAAGAACGATGGGGGCGAAGATATTGCAATCTCTCGAAGAGGGGTGAGTGACACCTACTATAGGAAAAATACGGATGCTCGTGACGCCATGGCGGGGGGCGGTGAGGTTCCTCCGGTGGTATGACTCGTGTTTGTGGCCGGTGCTGGTGGGTGATTATGTAGGAGGCGATTGGACTTATTGACAACGAAGACAATAATGACTAGATAAAGGTGTGTATAGTTTTGGAATATAGTAACAAAAATTGTAAATATTATAAATGGCGTGAGCCGCGTGATCATATTGTCTGAAAAGCTAAGACTAGAGTTACAATGAAACATGATAACTCATAAGAGTATCTAATTAAACAATCCAATAATAAAAGAGGTAGAATGTCTTGAATATAATCCATCAAAATTAGCTTGCGGAATTGTGAAATACATAGACCTAACATTACCATGTGACAGTGATGATGTTTTGTAGCCATAGTGAGAAGTGATAAGATAGATGAGTTTGGTGGGGAGCAATTAATAATAATGTTTTTAATTGTGTAGTTGACTTGTGTTGGCACCGAATCGCATCACCGCACATTGACGTGTCGCCGCAGGAAGTGGAAGATGCCGTTGAATAAACACTCGAGAAGGACCCCGTCAGGGTGAACGCCCGTCGGTTTGTCCTAGCCTTGGTAGGCTAGCTAGAATGCCCTCTAACACCGTAGATATATAAGTAGGCATCATCCATGTACTATTGAAACTCCATGGGGGTATACCAAGGGTAATACCATGAAGGGTAATACCATGAAGAAGGAGAAGTATGTTGCTGGAGATCCATCCTCGCTCATCTCCCACTTCACTTGGTAGGTGAACTCGATTTCCATGGTCGCTTATCATCTTTTGGAATCTCCGACATGTCATATTACCCCCCCACCCCCCACCCCCCGCGCGAGCATTGATGTCTTCAATGTGGTCTTCTTTTTGGCATTAGGGTTCTTCTCCTATTACAATTCAGTGGTATGTATAGGAAAAGGTTGCTCATCTCCTTTCATAGCCGCAAACTCCAATCGTCCACTACTGGAGAAATGATCTTTCTTGGGTGGTGCAAAAACCACAATAGTCCCAGTTCGAGTAGGAACCGGGACTAAAGGATATCTTTAGTCCAGGTTCAAAAGCTCAGGGCTACTTTTTGATCCTTAGTCCCGGTAACACCGACTGGGACTAAAAACCATTTTTAGTCCCGGTTCAGTAGCTGTCAGGCCATGTCAGGCCCCCGAACGACACCAACCGGGGCTAAATATCTCTCTCACACGTCTTAGGCATCACTCACTCACTCTCTCTCTCTCTCTCCCCCCCTTATCTCCTCGGCACGAGCGCCACCCCCGCGCACGCCTTTTACTCCTCCTTATCCCCTCTCCTCCTCCTTCACTCCTTTTCCTCGAGATCTCCTTCTCCTCCTCTGATTCCCTCCTCCCCTTCCCCTTTCCCTCTACGTTGACAGGCGGTGGCGGCCGGGAGGCGGCGGGCAACATGTCACGCCCCGAACTAGTCCCGAGCGGAACTAGCCCGTGACGCTCCAAATTAACCTGTTAATCGATACCAGTCCCAGGAAACAGTGCTGGTATCACAGGAAGACAGAATATCACAGCAACAGAGGTCTCTTTATTATAGAGTAGGAGTACAGTCATGTTGGGCTGCAGACAGATCCCGAGCTCACAACTGCATTACAAAAGGGAAGCGGAAGCCAAGACTTGGACTAGACATCACAGGCGCGACTTGGGAACTAGGCCGAAACCCTAAAACTCATCGTAGCCGGCTTGCTCCTGGAAGAACTCCTCGTCAGCGGGATCCACTTCATCTTCTTCAGCAACTAGGGGGGGATTATTTATATAGAGCAAGGGTGAGTACGGGAGTACTCAGCAAGCCATGGGAAATAAGTGTTTAATGCAGGCTTCAAGGAAAGGCTGTTGTTTTTGCAATTGATTTTATTTAAACTCTTTTCTGAAACAACTAAGTGAGTGCTTCTCAAACGACACGGATGAGACAGTGCGTCTCGTCCGGTCGGAGTATGTGCAAGGTATCAGTCTTTTGAATTGATCAAGGTTGGCACCCGGCCAACAGCTTTCAAACGGCCACCCGGGCCTGGCTGATCCCATCAGCCGCAGATTTTCCAAATATCGAACCCAAACCACATCAGCAAATTTCACAAGCAGTAGGCAAACAAAACTACGCTAGGAATCACCTCACATCCGCCCATGACCGTGGGCACGGCTGTTCGAACAGTTTAATAACCTCTGCAGAGGGGGTACACTTTACCCACACGACATTACTAACCCGGATCATCCAGCCCGTGCAGAACGGCCACGACTAGAGACCTTAAGGCTTTCATGACAAGGCATTTCGAAAGCCGACACAGGTTCACCATATGCCAACGAGAGGGGTCCCAGACCAACACCAGATTAGGTCCCAGACCATACTGTGCCAGGAAACCCGGGGGTCCTCCCTGACACCACCCCGTTGAATCCACATGTCTCTTGGCATCATGGCTCCCCCGATTAGCTAGTTACTCAGCCAGGGGTGTCCCATTCCACCCATGTGGTCGTACTTGTCTTATGTTCGGATGAAATTCTAAGGAAACGGTCCTTAAGTGCAAGAGTGGGAAACCGTACACCAAGTACGTTCCCCGGTCCGCGATTTTGGAAATTCATTTAGGTTCGCAAGCACCGACCTAGGTGTTGGGTTTTCCAAGTCTTTTGTAAAACCCAAGTTTTACCCAAGATGTTTCTCAGATTTTAAGTTTGAAGGCGATCGTCGATACTCGTGCAGAGTGCACGATTACCGAGGTGCAACTAGGTGGTTACAAGGGAACATGGTATAACAATTACAATGGAAGGGTCAAATGCAACAAGTTAGGTAGGTCCGCCAATCTGCCTTGCAGACGGGACATGCAGATTAAGTGCAATCCTATCAATGCATTATATTTTTCAAGCAACATAATTAAGTTCAAATATAGGCTCAAGATGTTCAAAGGTGGCTTGCCTTGCTCGAGATCTTGAGCTTGATCCTCGAAATCCTCGCACTGCGGGTCTTCGGGCTCCGAAACTACACGCGAAACGGGACAACTCAGCAAACGGCGAAAATAAAGCCCTATTATTGACCTCTAAGCGTGCCATTAGATAGATCTCGAGATTTGAGGAATTTTGGAAGTTGAACGGAGTCAAACGGACTTACGGTTGGGAAGATATTGTATTTCTAAGAATATTGGATTTTTGGTCTAAAGGAAAAGGATTTATTTAAATCCTTTTTGAAATAGAAAAGAAAAGAAAAGATGGAGGGAGGGAAATTAGACTTTCCTCGGGCGGCTAGGGCGCGGCCCGAGAGAAAGGGCCGGCTCGGCCGAGCTTAATGGGCCGGCCGGCCCAAGAGGGCGGCCCAAAGCGCGCGCGCGGGCGGGGAGGAGAGAGAGAGAGTCGGTGGGCCAGGTCTACCTTGCGTGGTCCCAGGTGGGACCCGCTTGTCGGCGACTCGGCTCACCGTGAGCGAGGTGCACGCGGAGCGTGCTAGGGTTTGGGGAGGGGAGGCGCGGCGCATGCGTGCGGTTCGCGGAGGACGCGGATGCGGCGGGCCCACGCGCAGCCTCATGGCTCACCGCGGACCATGCGCACGGGGGGGGGGGGGAACGGAGGGAGCGGCTGGCCGGGTCGTGCCGAGGTGGCTCCGACGTGGCGCCTATGTGGTTGCCACGTGGGCCGGCTGGAGGAAGACGAAGGCGTCGGCCGGAACGGACGGCGGACGGCGGCGGCGAGCAGCGGAGCGAACCACGGCGATACAGGCGAAAGCGAGCACACCGGGAGGTTGCACGAGACGAGGGGAGACGAGTCAACGGCTCGGATTTGCCGGAGAGAGTCCGTCGGCGGCGGATTGCGGCGGCGGCAACCGGCGGAGAGAAAAGGGGGAAACGGCGACGAGGTCATGAGAGGCCGATTCCCGGCGGTGAGAGCATCTACGCGGCTACGGGAACCCACCCCTTGCGCCGGATTAGGAGGAAACGCATCGAGGGAGGCCGGCGACGAGAGACGCTTCTGAGCTCGGGCGGCGACGGCGGCGAGCACACGGCGAGCGACGGCAGCAGATGGGGCGGCGCCAGCTAGCTACTGGGGTACTACTCGAGCGGCAACTCAAAGCTAAGGGGAGGAGATGGAACGAGGAGGGAGAACGGAGGAATGCACTACCGAGATGAGGCGGGGCGCTGTGACGAGAGGCCGACGGCACGGGAGTGATCTCTCCGGCCTCGGGCCGGGGAAGAGGAAGAAGGCGAGCGCCCGGAGTGCCCTTCCGCGTCCTAGCGCGCACCGGCTCCTCCGGCACACGCGACGGCGGCTTTCGGCGGGAGAGACAGAGGGACGGCAATGGCGCGGGCGAGAAACGGGGAAGATTGGGAGGGGAAAAAGGAAGGGAGGGCGCCTGGGTTTATAGGGCGGCAATGTCGGTTTTGGAGACCGACCTTGGGCGGTCAAGGCGCGAGCTGGCGCTCGGCGCTCGCGGCCAAAACGGCGACAGAGGCGGATGACGCCGGCGGGGGAGAGAAAAGGAAAAAGGAAGGGAGAAAGGGGGCTTGCCCCTTGCCTCTTTGGGAAAAGAAGGAGGGAGAGAGGGCGGCGCGGCAAAGGGGGGGGGGAAACTCTGCCTCCGTCCCTTGGAGGTTAGCGCGCGGAGTGGATGACGACAGCGATGACGGCGGGGGCGGTGTGGAGCGGAGCGGCGACACGGGCGGCAGGCGCGGACAGGCGCGGCAGAGGCTGACAGCGGCGGCGACCAGGCGGTCGGCCAACACGGCGCGCGCGCGGGCGGCGCGGCGATTTGGGCGACGCCGGCGGGAACGGCGGCCAGAGCGGAGAGTGAGGGCTCGGCGCGGCTCACAGGTAGAGCGGGGAGAGAGAGAGAGAGAGAGAGAGATGGGGAGGGAGGGGGAGATGGGCCGAGAGGAATTCGGCCCATCGAACCTGAGGGAGGCGAAATAGACTTTTGCGGAGGGATTTGATTTGGGAAGGATTTGGATTCGGGATTGAACTTGATGATCGATCGGGGATTTGAGATCTGAGATGGCACGGACACTAGACAACAAGCAAACAAATAGATTTCGCAATTAGGATTTTTAAGAGATAGTTTTCCCGCTAGGCGCCACGACGGAACGGGCGCTACACAACAGCAGCGCCCGGCGCGGCTGTCGTGGACGGAGG